CTCCTCCTCCTCCTCCTCCTCCTCCTCCTCCTCCTCCTCCTCCTCCTCCTCCTCTCTGCAAATATACTCTCGCGTACCCCTTAGTTACTCTTCTCTGCACTTTTCCTGAAGTCTCAACATCTTTTTTGGTAACGCGGTGACTAAACCTGGATGCAGCATTCCAGGTGTGGCCTTACTAAGGATTTATAAAGTGGTACTGATACTTCATGTGATTTTGATTCAAATAATTCTATGAATTATCTCCCCTTTAACTGTGGAGGCAGAAAAGAGACCGTGTGGATGCATATTCATAAGCACACGAACACAACATACTTCATTCACTCTCACCCTGATTTATAGCAAATCAGGTAAGACCTGCCAGTATCGTAAAGTCATTGGCTGGTGCGTGGTTGTGTGTGTGTGTGTGTGTGTGTGTGTGATTCAGCAACACCTCCCTGCATTTGAATTTGCAAAGGTGAAAAAAAAAAACCCGCAAAGCTATTGATTCTTCCAGAATTTTCATTATTCTACAGAATAGAAGATTCCCTCCTCCGAATCATTTATTCATGATTTTTGTATTATGATTTTAATTAAAACAAGCCTCGCCGTTGCTTTGTGTAAAGGTTTTGTATTTTCCATTCAAGAAGAGAGGAAGGGGGAGGTAAAAAAAAAACAAAAAAACCAACAAACCCATATTGTTCTAATGGAAACAGATTCTCCTTCGCTTTTCAGCTTTGCTGGGTTTTGCTAACCGCTTAATGAAGTTATGCTTCAGTGGCCTTTAAACACAGGTTGGCGATGTCCATTGGCTCCATTGTTAGAAAACGCGCCGTTAGAAGTTAAAAGGTAATCTACCTGGCTGGTTTTTCGTGTGAACATTTTTGGGGCTAAACACTCGACTGATCATTATTGTCATGGATCACACAGGCCAGCCATACAAATTAGTTGTAATTACCGAAGTTCTTTCTGTCGCCTAACAATTGGCAACTGGTCCGGTATAGTCTAGGCATAATTGAAGTATTACTTGGACATTAGAGACAATTAATTTTTTTTTTTATCTGCCTGGCTAACTCTGCACTGCTTGTACTCCAGATACGATAGCTGTTCATATGCAAGTTTGGTCATGGGTTGTCATGTCCCTGTCGGAATCTGACTTGAAGGAGGAAGCCGAACAGCTGACAGGGAGTGGGAGTGTGGCTCCGTTGGCTGGGGAAGAAACTGGGGAAGGGCAAAGTCCAGTTGGGCAGAGCAGGGGAGAGGTAGAGCAAGGGAGAGAGAATTCAGAGGAAGATCCAGGCCCACCCCCTCTTCATCCTAGGGCACACAGGGAGGAACGGAGAAGGGAGCAACATGGGTTGCAGGGCTTACGGGGGAGGAAAGGGCCCTGATTCCCTTCATTAGCTGCAGCTGGGAACACAGTGTATATAAAAAAAGAAAGCTGCGTGCAGCAAGCTGTTGGGAGCAAATGTGACTTTATCTTGTATCATTGTGGCTTATCTGTGTTCCTGGCATCTTCCCAACCATGTGAGTTATTGCCGTGCCTTCAAGTCTGAAATTCTTGCTCCTGCCCTGCCAAACTAATTACTTCAGTTTGGTTTGTTTGGACTTTTAAGCTACAGTTTGTGTTGACCCTGTTTTGGACTGAATTTTCTAGAGTCAAAGGTTGTTCCTGGGAGAGTTCTTCTCCAGCCCGAAGGTAACCTGGACCTTGGGGGCAAAGTTGGAGATAATAAAGGGACTGTTCTCATGGGGTTAAAGGTCTCGTCACAGGATTTAAGCTCTTCCAAGCTGAGCTGCCTTTTGCAATTGACCGATGGGAAAGTTGTCAATGCCGATGATGCCCAGTTGCTATTGTTAGGGTTTGTCACGCAGTCAGCCAGATGTTCAGCCTGGATTTGGCATTTTGGTCAAATGCGAGTCCTTCCCAAGGACCTGAGATAGGCAGATGTGGAAGTTTTGACGGGGTTAAAGGTCTCGTCCCAGGATGGAAACGGTCCTGACTAAAACTGCCTTTGATCATATAAAACCAATACTTGAAGGCTTTTCAAATCCACAGAACCCTCTTCGCATTTGCAAAAGCAAAAAAAAAACAAAAAAAAAAGTAAGCATCGTAATTTTGCTGTGTGAAACCAAATAATTTTGCAGGAATTTTAATGCATGCAGGTCATAAATACAATCCTGTAAAAATGTTAATTGCCAAATGCATTTTGACCCAAAATTAAATGGAGCCTTCTTCAAAAGGAAACACATTCTTTTTGCTTATATTCAGTGTATTTCGAAGCCAGTGACGGTTTTATAGATGAAGTTAAATTTCCCCCATTCTTTGCAACTGGCATCCAGAAATTTCAGGATTCATTGCACTAATTTTCCTTCAAGCCGTTTTAGGCGCAAGTTAAAAATACAGATGCTTTGCTAAAAATATTTCTTATAGTAGCTAAATATCTTAACTCACCACAAGAAGCAATCCCCCCCCCCCAAGTTTTCCAATAACGAGAACAATATATTAAACTTCTCCTTAAATCATTGCCAATTAATCAAAATATAAATTCAGTTTTCAGGAGCAAAACTGCTTCTGTGCTGTACTTTCAACACTCGGTTGAAAATATAATCACAGTTGTGTTTTCCAAGACGGCATTTTAGCCTGTTTTTTTTCACTTAATGTCAAAAACGGAATGAGCTGTATGTTTGCTTTTAAATTAACAGCTGAAATTCACTCGGGTAGAAATAAAGTAAATTTAACTGTGGGTAAAATTTGTCATTAAAAAGTTATTATGAAAGCACACCAGTCCACATATTGGAAAGAGGCTGTATTTTCACTCAGAAAATAGTGCAAAAGGCATAATATAATACAACTGTAGTGAAGAGAGTCAGTTTAGAGATTTATGGGTCAATAAAGCAGACAATTACAGCTTGTTTATAAAAGGAAGAAGTCCGGTTTTTTTTTGACCTGCAAGCAACACCGAGACTCTAATAATGATAATTCTAGCTTCTCCCTTGAAACAATAAAAGTCAATAGGAAGATATAGGATTTCAATAAAATTATGACACTATATAAACTTTCTCCCTGGAACATGTTTTCCCCACAGATATCTGATTGACTTTAGTTAGATTTGTAACTTTAATTTTGTTTCCATTGATCTCTCTGGCCAACTAATTAGACACTCACTGTCAAATAGCCCAGATCATGGAAGAAACTATCAAGGCAAACCCGCACAAGGGACAATATGCTAGAAAAGTCCAAATGAACTGTATGAATAAGTATACCATTAATACGCAAATTTAGGCTTTGTTTTCTGCTGTTTTTCGCTCCGCTTTTGCAAAGAGAAAACAACCTGGAAGTGTCACTGAAATAAGAAGTGAAGAGTAGATCTGCAGCTGATTTTTATTGCAGTATTGTACTCTTTCTTTAATACAAAATGCAAAGCAATTAATAGAATAAATAGAAAATGCAAAGCAATTAATGCACAAGTCTCGCATATTAGTTATCCTCGGTGCGTTGCGTTAATTGTTCTGGATGGACCTGTTTTTATCCCAAATGCTGTTTGGTGTCTATAGAATAACAAGAGTTGGAAGGGACCTTGGAGGTCTTCTAGTCCAACTCCCCATTCAAGCAAGAGACCCTTTTCCATTTCAGACAAATCTCTTCTGAAACCGTCTTTGCCCTGTTCTTCATTAGCTTGGCTTTCCTGCTTTGAACCATCACAATCACATGAAGTGTTAGTACTGCTTTATAAGGCCTTGGTAAGACCACACTTGGAGAGGTAGCGCAAGGCAGAGGGAATTCAGAGGAAGACCCAGGCCTACCCCCTCTTCATCCCAGGGCAGGCAGGGAGGAACGGAGAAGGGAGCAACGTGGGTTGCGTGGCTTACGGGGGAGGAAAGGGCCTTGATTCCCTTCATTAGCTGCAGTGTTTAAAAAGGGAAGCTACACTCAGCAACTTGTTGGAAGAAAATTGGGAATTATCTGGTATCATCGTGGCTTATCTGTGTTCCTGGCATCTTCCCAACTGTGTGAGTTTGGCCATGCTTTCAAGTCTGCAATTCCTTCTCCTGCCCTGCCAAGTGAATTACTTCAGCTTGGCTTGTTTGGATCTTTATTTACAGTTTGTATGTACTTTGTTTTCAGTTTGAATTTCCTTCACTTAAAGGCTGTTCCTGGGAGAGATTTTCTCCAGCCAGAAGATAACCTGGAAACTGGGGGCAAAGTTGGAGATAATAAAGGGACTCTTCTTGCTTATTTGACTGTGTTGCCTTTGTGCCACCCCCCCTTTGGGTCATCACATGTCCCTTGTGTGTTCAACTTGTCCTCTGAGTTGCACTGAATGGAAACTTAACAGTTTTTTTTTTCCTGTTTGTTCTTCCTTCCTGCCGCTTTTTCCCAGGCCTGTGACAGAATGAATTCCATTGTGCAATCCTACGACATGGAGATGAACCAATCGGAGCGCTTACTACAACTCAACGTCCGCGTGCAAGAAGCTGAGGAGTTGGTGAAGAAGGGGGAAGCCTACTGCAAGGAAATGGAGGTGATTGAGGGCCAAAATATTAGGGGGGGCCACCAATAAAGGAGAGTCTTTGTAGCTTGGGGTTGACACGAGGGGTCCTTGGTGGTTCTCTGAGCTTGGTGGTTTCTTTGCAGACGTTTCAGGACCCAGCTAGTGAACATCATCCGTGCTAGAAAAGAGTGGGGTTTGTGAGTGGGGAGAAGGAAGAGGAGGAGGAGGGACAACTGTGGGGCCCTTGGTGCTCTCTGAGCTTGCTTTTCCATTTCATTGTACACCTTTGTTGTGCATCGACAATAAAGGTTTGATTTGATTTGATTTGATTTGATTGCAGATGTTCCATGAACCAAACTAGGATCATGCTAGAAGGGAGTTAAGTTTGTGAGAGGGAAGAGGAGGAACTGTGAGCTCCTTGGTGCTCTCTGAGCTTGGTTGTTTTCTTGCAGATGTTTCATGACCCAACTAAGCAACATCATCAGTGCTAGAAGGGAGAGTATATTTGCAGGGAGGAGGAAGAGGAGGAGGAGGAACTGTTGTTCTTTGAGCTTGCTTGTTTTCTTGCAGACGTTTCATGACCCAGCTAGGTAATGTCTTCAGTGCTAGTAAGGAGTGCAGTTTGCTGTCAGCTTATATTCTGGTGACTTGCTTGTCTGTCTGTCTGTCTGTGTGTGTGTGTGTGTGTGTGTGTGTGTGTGTGTGTGTGTGGTGTGGGGCAGTCTTAGAGATTCTTTGGATGGGCCGTTCACTGATGGCTCTTTGGCCGTTTCTTGGTGGGGTGTTGCTTATTTGCTGGGTGGTCTGAAGTTAACTTTGGAGTTCATCTATGCTGCTCTGGGTGCTGGGATCTTTTTATTCTCTTTTGGGCTGGTTGGTCGACGGTCTCTTTTGCATAGAAAAAAATGCATCCTCCCAAAAGATTTCAAAAAGTTTTTTTTAAAAATTAAGCCCTCTTAATTTAGGTCCAGGTAGCAGCAATTGTGGGCTAAGCAGCACAATATCAAGCCACCGTTAGCGTGTTGCTTTTTGAAGGAGAAAGAGAGACTGATTTAAGGGGTGAAGTTTTAGCCCCCCTATCCAGCTACTTCCAAAGGACACCCCAGGACAGACAGGAGGAGGAGAACACCCAGAGGAATAAATTAAGACATTCCCCAAATGTCTTAATTTATCTCCGAGAGACAGTTTGATGTTCTCAGCTACGCCTTATGATGTCCCAGTACCTCTTGGCCACAATGTGAAGTTAGGAAGTATAGATATAGCTTAACAGGGTTGGGAGGGACCTTGTAGGTCATCTAGTCCAACCCCCCCCCCTCTGCCCAAGCAGGAGACCCTGCATCATTTCTGACAGATGGAAGTCCAGGTCTCTTCTTGGAAGCCTCCGGAATGAAGCTGTTACAACTTCTGAAGGCAACTTCTGTTCCGTGGGTTGGTTGTTCTCACCGTCAGAAAAATTCTCTTTATTTCTAGGTTGAATCTCTCCTTGTTCAGTTTCCATCCATTGTTCTTTGTCTGGCCTTTGGGTGCCTTGGAGAATAGCTTGACCCCCTTCCTCCTCTCTGTGGCAGCCCCTCAAATACTGGAAGGCTGCTCTCCTGTCTCCCCTGGTCCTTCTCTTCCCTAGACTAGCCAGGCCCAGTTCCTGCAACCGTTCTTCATATGTTTCAGCCTCCAGTCCCCTAATCATCCTGGTTGCTCTTCACTACACTTTTTCTAGAGTCTCAACATCTTTTTTATAATGTGGTAACCAAAACTGGATGCAGTACTCTAGGTGTGGCCTTACTAAGGCTTTCTAGAGTGGTCTTAGTGCCTCTCTTGATCTCGATCGTATCCCTCTGTTAATGCAGCTTAGGATTGCATTGCACTTCTGTTGGCTTTCCTGTCTCTTTGTGGCTAATCCCAAGGACTTTTAAAGATGTTTTGTTCCTTCAGCGTGGGGACGGAGGAATGTACAGACCAGGATTTAAAAGGAGGCCCCTGGTAGTTAATCCGTCTTGTGTATTTGGATGTTTTTCTGTCATCTCTTTGCAAGCAGCCTCTCCGCAGTCCCGGCTTACCCTCTGATCTAAATTTACGACCGTTGCTTTGAGAGAACCACGACGATGCTAAATATAGACTCGGTGAAGGTGAATGCCAATAAACGTAGCACCATTAATGTACCTTTCATCGCAACCCATTTGGCTCAGTGTGAAACATTTAAGAGCACGAAGAAGAGATGTGTAGGACACACTCATGCTGATACCGTCCAGAGTTCACAGAATCCTTACCGGGAGAGATTGATGCTGTCCACACGTCCTCTTTAATTGGTTCGTTATGAACCCGGCAGTTTCTACTCATCAAATACCCAATGTTCTCATTCTCTACTCCCAAGAGTTGGGCAGGGTGGGATCTGCTGCTGGTGTCAGGCCCAAACAACCAAACTCACACGTGTAGAGTTCAAACAAGCTACTTTATTGTTTTATGCCTCTAATACAGGAATCTTCCCAGAGTGGCAACTTTTGCCTGGGGAAAAAAGAGCTAGATAAGGCTCAAAAGCATTCAGGGCGGGGGTCAGATCCACCTCTTTTGTGTTTTCATAAGGTGAAACAGGTAGACATTTCCCTGTCCAGCTGTGTCCGGCTCTAGGGCATTATGCTCACCTCCATTTCTTGGCCGAGGGAGCCAGCATTGCCCGGATATATTTTCCGTAGCCAGGTAGCCAGCATGGCTATATGCCAAAAGCACACCGAATTGCAACAGCACTCAGACTCATATACTGCTTCACGGTGCCTTCCAGCCCCCTCTAAGCATTTACAGAGTCAGCCTATTGCTCCCCCCAACAATCTGGGTCCTCATTTTACTGACCTCAGAAGGATGGAAGGTTGAGTCAACCTTGAGCTGGTCAGAATCGAACTCCTGACTGAGTCTGCCCACAATACTGCATTCTGACCATGGCACCACCATGTTCTGACCCAAGTTCTTTTCCCATAAAACAAAACGTGAACCAAAGGGAACAGAAACCTTTTAATGAGTCTTACGAATCCCTGGTTAAAAGGCTGCTGAAAACTAATTAACTTTAATAAGCATGAGCCTCGCCAAAACTATGCGAGGCTGCCAAGAATAACAGATAAGAAATATTTTACAACACAAGAGTCTTCAAATACCAACTTAAGATACTGTAATGTCCACGAGGCTGAGTTTCAGAACGTCTTTGCTTCCTGCAAAGAACGTTTTCTTCACAGCTGGCTTTTATCTTCTTGAAGGAGGGGCCATTACCTTGCAGCCTTACTCCTGAGTCGCCCGCGCTGTTGCAGCTGCTCTTTCCTACGAGCAATCCTGTGTGCACGCGCACTTGGCATAGGCTCCTCGGGAACTTCCTCATCGCTGCTGCCAGCCCCCACAATCTCTGAAGGCAGCAGTCCATTCCCCAATGATCCTGGCCCCTCATCTGAGTCCTCGCTCTCCTCAGCCGTCCACACCTGCTGCTGGCTAACCACAACACACCGTGGCTCTCTTTGCTGTTGCCTTCCCACCATAGTGGTACCTATTTATCTGTTTATTTACTTATTCCCACCATAATGGTACCTATTTACTCGCATTTGCATGCTTTCGAACCGCTTGGGGGGCAGAAGCTGGAGCAAGAACAAGAGCTCACTCTGTGGCATGGAGCTCAGGTCTCAAACCCGAGCTGTCAGCTCTCCAAACTCAGCATTTTTAACCACTGAGGCCTCCAGGCTAATTCCCTGCTTGATCCCTCCTCCCGTCTGAGACAGTTCCTCTCTAATATCAGGTAACCTGTAAAACTGCCCTTTAAGTAGAGTCTTTCTTCTGAAATGGGCATCTGAGCATCCAGGCAGAGCTGCTATCATAGAAGTATAGAACCATAGAATTCTTTATTGGCCAAGTGTGATTGGGGTTAATTTGAAGGAATTATTTGCAAGAATCAACCTAAAACAGATCTCTGCGAAGGCTAGAGATTCCTCCCCTCTAGACAGTCCGAATTGAAACCATAAAATATTGTTTGGCATCGTTAATGGCCGTAACTTCTTCCCTTCCTCCCATTTCGAATGGTTCCCTGTGCCTCCATTCCTCATCGGTTCCATTTCTTTAGCTTTTCTTCCAAGGAAAACCTTCGAATAAATCAAATGGCGATGGCAGCATCTCCTGGGAAGCTCTGCCTCGGCTGTGAGGGAGGATTTATGAGCCTGTCCTTTTTCCTTGGCCAGGTTCTGGCTAGTTTTTGTGTCCATAAAATAGCCCTGAATTGCACACAATAGAAATCATAGAATCATGGGGGCTGGAAGGGATTTCAATATAGACTTCAAGAGGCCATTTAGTCCAACCCTCTGCTCAAGGCAGGAGATCTTATATACCCGTGAGGGCGAGCCTATGGCACACAGAGCCATTTGTGCGGGTACACGAGCCCCAGCCAAACTTAACTGCACTGCGCATGCATGAGACTTCTGGAAATACCAGAAGTGCCGAAACGGGCCTGTTTTTCGGCCTCCCGAGGCTTCCCTCGAGCCTCCAACAAAAAGATTTGCCATCACTGTTATATCCCATCTCAGACAAATGAGGATCCAATCTTTTCTTGAGAATCTCCAGGGTTATGGAGCACCTACAACTTCTGAAGGCAAACTGTGTTCCAACTGATTCCTTATTCTCACCGTGGAGAAATTTCTCCTTAATTCTAAATATTCATCGTTGCTCCTTCCCAGTTTCTTGTCCCCCCCCCCCCCCCAAGAGGTCTGGTGTTGGTTAGTCAATGCCTGCACCCCTTCCCCCCTTTACAGTGAACTGCTGGCCTTCAAATCAATAACTAGCGGAATTTCTTCTGTTCATCCAGCCCTCCGCTTAGCTAGCGTGGTTATAAAACCGTTGATTTAAGAGCATTGCAAGAAGCAATATAAACAGAAAGTATATCAGTGCAGGTTTAAAACAACAGCAGCAGCAGAATTTCTGCAGGACGCTCCTGTTGAAATAAAATTGATTTTCCCCTAGAAGGGTTATTCCACCTCTTTTGAGCGGTGGCTTCTTTAATAAGACCCCGT